CAAAAGTGGGAGCCGGGGTACCGCTTGAGAAATGAGTTCCCAGCAGTGAGTGCTGCTGCATCACAGATGGCGGGGTATGCCATACCTTCTCTGGGGCATTGCCAGTGTCGTCGGGTTGACCGAACATCGCGATTGGCGGGGGTACCCTCGTCGTACGGTACCGACGTAGTTGAACTCTAAGTATGAGATCGGGAAGGTCGTTGTCTTCAAGAAACCACAGATCGGCCTCCTCCAACTCGTGGTCTTGGAGGAAAGCTTGAAGGGCTCCAAAACCAGCACCGAGGGGAGGTTCTTGGGGAACCTGCTCGCTAGGGGCGGCCGCGGAGGTGTTGGCGATACCGTCATCGTTGCCTTGCCCGGGTTCTCCACCAAAAGCTGAGCTGTTGGCGCTGTTAGAGCCCTGTGACCTAGAGTTCGAGTTAGAGGACTTCCCGGGAACACGACGCGCAGGAGGCATAGGGAAGTCGGGACGAAGAAGACGAAAGTTAATCGACTAATGAGCAATGAGCTTCAGCGCGCAGCACGCATGTGCATAGCGCTCCTGCGTGAAACTACGTCACGTCACGATGGAGCGTGTCTCACTACTATGGGAATAACATAGGGACAGACTAGAAAAAAATGAGAATACATCGCTCAGTCGCATCGTTTGGCGGCCCGTAGAATGGCTTCCCCTCTGCACTCTGGATGTCTTATGTGTCACGACTCTCGGGAAGGACTATAATTTTTTAAACCCAGATGGTGAGCACACGGTTATCCCATGCACTCTTCCTCATCAAACGTCGCACTCCCTCCCATCGTGGTATGGTCTAGTTCTCTTGATTCCGTTCCTTCTAATCATGGATTATGTACGGCCATTAAGGAGGGTCATTTAGAAAATGACATTTACACAACAATGTGATGTTATCGCATTGGTTTCGACTCAAACCGATGCCAGCATTGGTGTTGAAGTGTTATGTATTGGTCTCTTCAGGACTGCCTCTAGGCCGCCAGTCTGGAGAGCTTCAGCTGGCGATGGATGATTTGCTAGTCGGCTCCGGTTATGCTTTACAACGTAGTGCCATGCCGTGGATTACACGAGACAGATTCCCTTGGAATCTTAATCCGATGATCAAAAAGGTGA